GAATCCGATGGAACAAAACGGTACAAGGCCAGACTTGTAGTAAAGGGATTCCAACAGAGATACGGTATTGACTTTATCGATGTTTTTACACATGTTGTTAAGTTAACCACTATTCGTCTAGTGTTAAGCATGGTAGCGGCGGAAAACTTGGAGTTGCAACAGTTAGATGTGAAGACGGTCTTTCTGCATGGGGATCTCGAGGAAGAAATTTACATGGTGCAGCCAGAGGGGTATAGAGAAAATGATCAGCAGGTCTGCCGCCTAAAGAAGAGCTTGTACGGACTGAAACAGGCTCCTCGACAGTGGTATCGAAAGTTCGATAATTTCATGCTGGAGATTGGATACTCCAGGTGTAATGCTGATCATTGTTGTTATGTGAAAAGGTTCGGTAACTCTTTCATTATTTTACTGCTATATGTGGATGACATGCTGATAGCAGGATCAGATGTCAAGGAGATCGAGAGGCTCAAGGATCAGCTATCAAGGAGATTTGATATGAAGGATCTAGAAGAAGCGAGACAAATACTGGGCATGAAAATCACGAGGGACAGGAATGCTGGTAAACTTTGGCTTTCACAATCTAATTATATTGAGAAGGTGTTGTGCAGATTCAAAATGGATACTGCAAAGCCGGTTGGAGTACCATTGGGAAGCCAGTTCAAGTTGTCCAACAAGGATTCGCCCAAGGATGACTCTGAAAAGGAAAGGATGAGAATTACGCCTTATGCTTCGGCTATAGGGAGCCTGATGTACGCTATGGTCTGCACCCGACCAGACATAGCACATGCAGTAGGAGTAGTCAGCCGATTCATGAGCAATCCTGAAGTGATGCACTGGGAGGCGGTAAAGTGGATCCTTAGGTACCTGAGAGGTACTAAGGACCGGGCATTGGTATTTGGCAGGGGTACCCTTACCTTGTCTGGGTTTGTCGATGCTGATTTTGCAGGAAGTGATCATGACAAGAGGAGGAGTACTACTGGGTACGTGTTCACTTACGGTGGGACGGTCGTATCCTGGATTTTAAAGCTGCAGAAGATAGTCACATTGTCAACAACGGAAGCTGAGTACGTGGCAGTGA